GATGCAGCTTATGTACCAGCATGCAAGTGAATCAATAGTCATTGTGGCTGCATTCAAGAAACAATTTTGGTAATTAATAAAAATACAACATTTTGAACCAATTAATGAAAATGTACAAACTCAGTTTAGTTCATCCAGCATTTAAAAAAACTAACTGGCCCTGGTAATATCGACAGACATCTGAAACTCTTCCATCATTGGTGTACTGTCTGGACTTTACTTTTAAAAGTAAATAAAGAACACCATTAATATTTACATGTTCTGTGGCAGTGACGTGGCTAATGCCATCTAACTCGTCTATCAGGTGGAAATTATTGAAGACTTGGTCATATTTGTAAATATTTGCCCCAAGGCGGCTACCAGTGAGTAAGTAAAGTTGGCCAGCGTAGTTGACAAACTGACATGTTGTTGCATGGTGGTGTTTAAGGTTTTCGACTAGGATGAATTGTTCTTGCTCACTGTGCCATTTTGTGATGTACACCGGTAATTGTCGTCTTTTATCAACCATGCATATGAACGTGATGTGGTGAAAATTAGCAGTATCCAGACTAACAGAGTCTGGTGCTTTTAAATTGATTGAGGCTGATTTCAGGACATAGAAATGCTGTCCGGTCCATTTCCAGACTGTGGTGCCACGATCACTTGTTAGTATCATCCAGAACTGATAGTTTTCTTGAATAAATGCTACATGCTTGGATTTTGCATGCAGATGATGAACAACCCCAAATCCATCACTGTCCCATTCATATAGAGTTGTATTGGCATACGAACCATTAGTCGCAATGAGAAAATACTTTGTAATATCCCTGCTTTGGGAAAATTCCACAAATTTTAAGGTCTTTGCTTCCAAAACATTGAGTCGCTGAAATTCTATGAATGTACTCTCATTTTCTTTCCACTTGTAAATGACTGGTTGCGTAAGTATTTGAAGACCAACAATCTGAACAATTTGATACAAGGTGTCAATTGATCCAGTACGGTATGCCGCGGTGCCAAGGTACGTGTCATTATGTATTCTGAAAATCTCCAAACTAAGCACAGCAGGTACGTCTATCGTTTGATGATATATAAATGTCTGGTCATGCCATTTGTAGATCAGTACTGCATCTAAAATGGAACAAATGCAGAATAAACCTTGTGTGTTTAAATCATGTAAAAAAAAAACACCTTGCCCAAGGCTTATCCAAAGTCCTTGTTAGAGGACTGGGAATGAGACATTGAGTGTCCCACATGCCAGGGTAGGAGCTGATCACTTATTGGGTAAGCCTACCAACGGAGTTACTATTTGTAGGGTATGATGACTTACCATTGTCTCTATCTGCTATAGCTACGTATGCCTCTCTTTCAATGTGAAAACTCCTGATACTCAGCACTTCACTTCCACAATCAATATCACCATATGGTACAAATCCATTCAGTTCTTAAGATAATTGATAAGAACAGAAATTTAAATAATTGCAGGAACATTTACCAGTGAACAAGTTAGTGAGTGAATGGAAATACTGTAAAACACTTTGAAATAGCTACATGCCATTTTATCGAATTCGCCTCCATGTATGAATTAACTGAATCTTAATTTAGCTAAAGTGTCAACAATCTCATTGTGAGAATATATTCTAATTAGCGACATCTTAATTTAGCAAAATTAGCTAAATTGGCTAAAATAACGTGCTAGCTAAAAAGACATGTTTTACGGTATATAAATCTGTTTCTTGGCTTAAATTGTTTATCTTTACTAACATTTCAGGTTGAAAATGTGACACTATAAGCAAATTAAGTGAGCAAATTAGTAGTATAGGCAAATTATCTGGAATGTTGCAAAACCAGAATTATTATTGCATAGGGTTCAGCAGTTTGAACATGTTTATTAGTACATACAGTATACAACATTCAAAAGATGGACTGTAGTGTGATACATATGCACGTACATAAAAATTGAGATGTGATTGGAGAGTCCCTACTTGTGATATTTTATTTGTGAAAATAATTTTTTCAGGATTTCTCAAGTCATATATTTGACACATTTATTTCATCACTGTGAAAATTATATTTATGATATCACACTAACAAAAGTAATTTGATGTCATACTCGTTCACAACAAATATTGATAATCCAAATTAGTGATGCAAATTTACCAGTATTGAGGCAAAGTTGTTGTCCTCCAGGAAGCTGTACAAGTGCTTGATTATCACTGCACACAGTGTCAACATCATATCCCTGGTAACACACAAAATACAAGAGAAAATATAACAATCTATATGACATGTAATTCTACTGCAACACTGGCTGGCATATTAAGCACTGGGAATCACAGAGAACCACATCACATCACATTGAGAGAACTACCATTATAATGTACAATCTCAATTTTCACATGGCTGTGGGTAAATCATGTTTTTTGCGTGACTCACTGAGCCAAAGAGAAGCCATACATATGTTGTTAGCTATAAAAATGCGACAACACATCTAGATTATGCTGCATTCAGATAACTTGCACAGTTTGGAGTTTACTTGAGTTGGATTAACTTGAGTTCAATCTGTAAAAGTGTAGTTAGATTTAAAGCTCAACCATTCAATAAGTTTGATACTACTTCATGAAATAAAGATATAAAAGTAGCATACTAAAGATGTCTTTGTTGTTGTGGAATGGTCTCACCTCTCATAATTCACTGTGTTTTGTAAAATGCAACAGAGTGACCTCTGTTTGGTCACAATTCAAGAATTTTTGACTGTTTTTCACATTTTGGGTGTTCTAACATAAAACTGTCATACCAGAGAAGCTGAATGTGTTATTATCTTTTTTATTGAGACTAAACTACTGTAGAACACAACATGTTGAAATAGCTGCATGCGATTTCAGCAAATTTGACTCTTGGCATGAATTAACAGAATTTTAATTTATCTAAAGTGTCGACTACCCCCCCTGTGAGAATATACTTACTGTTAAATTAGCTGCATTTTGAATTAGCAAAATTACAGATTAGCTAAATTAGCTAAAATAATATGTTAGTTAAAAAGACATGTTTTACAGTATTTTATTCCATGAAATATTCATAAAACTTTCATGCATTCCAAACAATTTATGAATGAACAATATAAGTTTATGAATTATAATAATGCCTTTATTGAAATCATATCCTGTTCAGGATCTGGATTTTTAAAATACAATAAAGTTTCAGATACATACAAAAATGGCAAGACAAAATATAAATGAAGACAAAATGAAAACATAATAAAATAAAAATAAAAACGGAAAACAAGGAATGGTTAGAAAAACAAAACAGAAAAAGATATCTTAATGAGTTATATCAATTATGAATGTATTTTACATCAAATACTCATGTACATCATTTAATGTATGGAACCAAATTATTTCATGAAAGTCACTTTGACCTTTAGTGAACTGTTCATGCATGATGAGGAATACTTCATGAATATTCATGAGGTCATGAATTTTTACTCGCATTGGATTACTACCTTCAGTCTCTGAATTCATATTGGGGACTCATAATAACAAATTATATAAATCTCACCTGCACTGCTCCTGACACCAGTATATGGTACTGAATTAGTATATTACAGATGTTGGTAGCTAGTAACATCCAAGACATGGTTCTATAAAAACATCATTCACGTAGTTTGACTGGTTTCCCTCTGTAAACATGAAAGAATATTGACTTATGTCGGTTTGACCACGTGTGGCCAGAGTATAACATAAGGTCAAATGCACTGACGCATGTGAAGTGAATAGAATGACAAATAGCAGACAAAATGTTGACTGCATTTGGAAGGTTGCCTGAACAACCAATCTACCATTCTTTTGGCTGGGGAAACTCAAGGTAATTTTTAGCTGGTAAATATTTGCTTGTATACATTAGAAACGTTCTGCATATGGGTGCATCTGTTTTCAACATTTTCGCAGAGACTTTCCAATGTACACCACAGCTCTTCCCCTGACTATGATGCTAACTCTCCACCCCATAACTAGATGTGTCTTCAAGACAGACATAAACAATTAAAGTTAGTTAGGATTAAAGTTGGGGAAAGTATAGGATTGGAAAGTATTTTCATTTGTGCATAACAATCATTACCAGGTAAGTTTAATTCAAATATAGAGCTACAATAAGACATGTCTAATTAATTAAGCATATGCCCCACTTGACCTTGTTGTGCCAGACAATAAAATGTTTCTTCCGCCAGTCAACTGACAACTCAACCATGTCTATTTAACTAAATGACGTTTTTACATACAATCACAGTCCCTCTAGATAGAGGGACTGTGATACAATCAGTTTAGTCAAACAAGTTTAATACAATTTTAAAAACACAGGTTTAACCGGGAGGTAAAATTACATGCAACTACTTTATATATGTACATTCTTACCTTAAACGCGTAAATGGATTCAACATGGTAGACTCACTGAAGACGGTAATAAATACGTAGTGTCGTATTTTGTGTTAGTTCTTAGAAGTTGTTGAATGCAACTAATGACTGCCCTCTATCGAGGAATTCCAAAAATGCTCGCCGGTCAACCGCCAGAGGCGCTCGACCATTCGTCAAAATGGCAGCCAGTCGAAGTTAACGCTCGCGAGGTTTTAATAATTTCTAACTATCGGTGTAGAAAGTCTCTGTTATTTATTTCGTCATTTAAAAATGTGCCGTAGTGACGCACATCACCGAAAATTAAGTTATAGTGTTGGGATGAAACAATATACTGTTAGCTTCAGTTATGAACAACCAGACCTGACATCCACGACCACATCGTCGACGTCGTCCGATCTATTTTTGACTTTAGAATTTGGAAGTAAAAATTTTAATTATGAATGACAGTGCGTCGCCTGCTGTGGCCCGTATTCTGGCCAGCATATCACAGGAATCGTTGTGGTTAGTCATCACGGAGTACCTGATCCCATTGACATTTGCGTTTCGTTTCATCGCAGAGATTGTTCTGTTCATCACCATCGATGGCATAGCGAAAAGTTTTCTCAGCCGAACAAGGTAATGGTGTACAACTACAAGTAAAGCTTTATTGTGTACATGGGGGTAAAAAAAGATGACAACCTCTATTTATGTTGGCGCTTGGGTTGGTAGTTACGGGACTCTTTCTCCACAGACAGTACGTGGTAGGTACAGCTTCCAGAATTGTGCCCATACACTGTCGAGGTTGGACGACTGCAAATTCGTACCGTAGTACAGCAAATGACTTTGAATTCTATTAATGGGTAACGGTAAATGAAATATCAAAAAATGTATAACACTTTTTTTAAATAGTCATCATCATTATTATTGTGTTATGTCATTTTTTTCTCTATTGCCATGTTATTCAAAATCCCAATGGGGATACGAGTTCAACGAAGATTATTATTATACATCTGTCACCGTAACGCCATAAGTTACAGCGTGCCTTAATTTTGTTGTATTGCACTGGATATTTTCATTCTACCATATTAGGAAATGCAAATTCCAAATATTGAACGTTTACGCGCATAATCATCCTCTGCTCAACTTTTTTGATTTCGGCATCCCATGATGTATCCTTGGGAGGAAAAGATGTATAATAATAAGGTTATCATGAGGATACCACTCAGACAGTTCATGGCACATCGACCTCCGCTGCGTGTTGGTTGCTGTACTGTTTTCGTACTTACTTTTCAGTATCCTCATAATAACCTCATATTATTTTTATACATGTATTCATCAGTGCAACTTCTGTTGAATGGTCATGAGTAACCGTAAAAAGAACTATTTTGAGTAGCAAATGGTTGTGTAATTTTTATTTTGTTTGTTCAAACACAGGACTTCATTGCAGAGACGTCAAATCTGGTTGTACGAAGCTCTCATCCTTCTTTTAATTAGTGGGCTGATTACAATTTACATTCACCAGCCATTTGTTTTATGGGCTTTAATTATCTGTACATTTGGATGTTCTATGTTACATAAGGACCAGAGGCAATATAATCAGTTTCACGCTGAGAAAAACGTTTACAGTAGCAAGCCTGTCAACTACTACCAAGATAGTCTGCAAAAAAACCTCTCTTCAGAGATTGTTAGACGTCCATTACTTCCTCGACCAGGAATTGCACGGCAAAGAAGTCCTATACTAATTGGTGAATCATGGACATCCCCGCAGAAGAGCCCACCTCCTGATGAAGCACCTCCTACAAAAGTCACTGGTGTGCATAAACAGGTCAATCGTTATACTCCATCTTTCACTAATTGGTTCTCCTATTTCAAACCTGCTAACACTCCACCCGGACTCCAAAACAGAGGACAAAATTTGTGCTTTATGAACTCTGTCTTACAATGTTTGGCACATACGCCTCTATTGGCTGCACATTTTGCAAACCAAGTTAGACCCCTATCTGCCAACCAATTGGAGTCTGCATTGGTAGCTGCTGTTGGTAATTTACTTGAGGTCTTGAACGTTTTGCCTGGAACCACCACAAGTGCAGCAATTAGCACTACTGCTTTCAGAAGTGCCACTAACAGAATGATGCCCAGTTTGATTGCCAATCCAGACGTTGGATCACAATCTCAGCAAGATGCCTCAGAGTTCTTAACATGGTTGTTGAGTGCACTGCAAACCATCTTAAATAATAAATACACACTTCAAAATGTTGTCTCTGACACCACAAATACTGGTAACATGTTGAAATTTGTCTATGGTGATTTGAGTGATGAAAGAGTAAGAGAGTTGAAAGAACTGTGTCAAAAAACAATAGAAAACGCAAATGGTCTTAACAATGACTCTTATGCTGACGCCATAACAATGCTATCAGATTTAGAATGGTTGGTGTATTGTCGTCAGAATAACTCCATAATTGATGAAATGTTCACTGGACAGTTTGTGGATGTACGGTTTTGTTGCAAATGTAGTCATATATCAGTGAGTACCGAGCCTTTCACCGTACTACCAGTAGCAGTGCCTGAACAAGTAGCATACAGAGACCAGGTAAAGCTCAAAGATTGCATCGCTACATTCAGCAGCACGGAGGAGCTTTCTGGTAGGGACAGTCTTGTGTGCTCTCACTGCTGTTGTTCACGCGAAAAATCAACACCTAGGAGATCTGAGAGATTACAACAAATGGGTAAAACCAGTCTGGATTCAAAGGAGCTTGCAGAAGATGAAAAAATGGAGAGCTATGCGAGCGAGTCGCCTATTTCTGGTCAGCGCAGATCACTACTGCGACAGCTCCCTGAATGCCTGATAGTCCAACTAATGAGATTTCGATATGATTCACTGCGATGCCGCACCTACAAAAAACACACACCAATTACAATACCACTTAATGAACTTGACTTGAGTAATCTGATACTGGACACAGTTACAAACCGAGAACCAGTTATTAACCTCAGATCTGCGTATTATTTATATTCCCTATGTCTACATCTCGGAGGTCAGAGTGCGTCTTGTGGTCATTATGTTGCTTACAGCAAGGCTCTCGATGACAATTGGTACAAATTTGATGATGACTACGTAACCATGGTATCCAACATGGAGGACGAGTGTAATAATGATGTTATCAAGGAAAATGCTTATTTATTGTTTTTCAAAAGGAAGTAAAAGAAAGTTGCATTCCTTTATTTTAAAATAAATTATGCATTTACAAATGTGAATCCATGTAGTTATGCCTCAATTCTTGGTTACAGTGGGTTGAATTAGTGTGTATAAACCCTTATCCTGCCAGCCCCATGATGTGGGCACCCTACCAGTTTTTTGTTTGCACATAGTGAAGTGAAGGGAGGGTCATAGTTAGTGACCAAATTAGTGACAAAATTTCTGTTGTCTGTCATCGTATATGTATATTGTTAATCTGTAATCATAGATAACCAAAAGAATTTGCCAAAAATTGTACAAATTGCTGTGTGCACTGTTCAGTTACAGTGGCCAATGTAGGTTAACCAATGGTGGCAGGCATTGAGTTGCTTCATACACAGTAAATAAAATATGCCATTGCCGCCAATCTTTCATGTGAGCCCGTTCCCTTTTATATATCATTGTATTGAAGCTTAGACTATAGTGCAATGTATTTTACATTGACTTTATCACTTGTAAGCTAACTCTATACAAATCCCTTGGCACAATTACTAGATCTTCAGTACTCAAAATTTCTTCTACTGGACACAGATTGGGTCATGTCACAATGATAGTTTTTTTTAAAACTTTGTATGTAGTTGATATGCATACTTAATTTCCCCAATTGTCTTGAACTTGCAGTCATATTTGACCCTAAAAGAAACTTAAACAATGAATCTTATGTGCAGAGTAGTTTCTCAGATTGTGTACTGTACCATTACTTTTCTTTCTTATTACTGCTACTCAAATTTGTTACAAGACGAGCTCTTTTTGGTTGCTATGCAGTCTTTTTGACAATTCTGTTTTATCACAAGTTCATACTGTCTGATGTCAAAACTTATAATACAATTGTGTTCGTGTACATACCCGGTAGATCAAAGTTGTCACAATCCAATCTTAGATGGTCGACTGGCAGCCATTTTGATTGATGCAAAAAATCAATGTCAGTGTCCAATTGTGTCAAACAGGCAATTTGTGTTCTTGCACAGTAGTGCAAGTTGATTTGTCAAATGTCTGTTATTCCTATATGCCACGGCCATTTTATAAATTCTGCCCTTAAAAATGGATGTCCTCTCAACTCAGACCCTGACCCACAATTTACTTTAAACTTGATTTGGACATAAATGTCTGTATGTTGTCTTGCCTTCAACACATAAAGTTATAGATCAGTTTAAGATTTTTAAATTCCAGGTGAGCACACTGAGATGATAGCATTAATTGTCAATATAGCAATTAATTTGACAAAAAACTTCAGTGATAATGAAAGTGTATAGAACATTATGTGATAAGACAACTGAATATTAAACAAAATGACAAATTTATTTTCATGATCTTTTAAAATATACAAATTAAAATATGAACAAAAAATATACATATAGCTTAGTTGAGAATTATGCATATATATGAGAAAAACTGAATAACTCGTAGTTCAGTCATGCGCGGTAAAACTCTAATATGATGTAAGTGAATGAAAAGATAGCTGTTTTCCGTCAACGAAACCAATCAGTTACATCACAAAATTGTTTTCATCTCTTGCCAAAGACTTTGATGACATACATTGCACTAACCAATCAAACATATTGGATTGATGTTCTCATGTAAATCCCACATGATGTACTAGTTTAAACCAATTGACTATCACCTTATGTAGTAGTCTGCTAGATGAGGTGTAACTTAAAAATTACTGAAATTGAAAAAAAAACGCACTTCAAATAATTACATCACAAGGGAGTTCCACACTGCTTTGGCCAGTGTTTCTCATCATTTGCGTACAAGGTGCAACAAGCCAGGACAGCAATAAGACATTCACAGTCCCTGTTAATAAATAATTCTAAACTTTTGTTTTTTGAACACTTTCACTCAATCACTTCCTTGTTGCATGTCTCCATGTATCATTCTCCCATTGATTTGACTTAATTTTGCAGTGTATGCATTTATTGTAGATTTTTGCTTAATAATTGTGAATTGTTTAGCAATCATTTATTTTGTGTTCTATAACTCATAAATCCTCTTTTCACAATTATGAATTTGGACATCATCGGTATACAAAATTTTCTATTTTTTTGAAACAGGAATGTATTGCTGATACTTACCACATTCACAATAATTTGTTTTATGCCACGATACATTATTTAAAATGATTACTAGGTTACATAGACACATCCTGAACTTTACAATACAAAATGCTTGTCAATGATTAGAACTCCCTCTAACAGAAATCAGACTGCGAAACAATACACATGCACACTCGTCCCATGTAATAGAATTATTATTTACTATGAGAACTATTACGGATATCTGCATTACACTTAAATTAGAAAACGAGCTGCATCGGCATATTAAATCGGTAAATTATTTTGCTTTTGAACACTAGGCTCATAGAACATGATTAGATGAACTTTAAATTATCAGCACTGTGTTATCATTTTGATGGCAGTGTGAGTCTGGCACTTTAGTCCTGCACAGATTGCTCCTATCATTACGGAAACATTCATATGTTCTTATTTGATCAGTCAAATTTCAGGTTACCATATGCACCCATTCATGGTTTACTATAATAATTGTTTTTCACATCAATGATTGGGTCATATAAATATATTGCAGCAACTATATGCAAACTGCCCTCTAGTGGTGGTTCAACATGTTGACAAAAGTAGACTAAAGAGGGCGATGTACAGGTAAATTCATTTCATGCATTCATGCAATCATTGTTGGTTGTAAATTGTTATTTTTTCCTCATCACAGTGACTCCAGCATCACATCTCTGCACTGTCATGGGTGGCATTACTTCCCACACATCCAACATGGGATCATAGCATTCTACACTGTTCAACAATGAGTTGCCATCATACCTAGTCAGGAAAAAAACAAAATACAGATATGCATTTACATATAAAACAACATATATAATAAATTACAATATTGTTACAAGTACATACAAACTAAAAGCAAAAACACCACAATATAGTTCAAGCTCAGAACAAATAATTATAAGCAACGCTCCAATGATGTCTACTCTTTACTGTATAGGGGAGTACTACCGTAATTGCTCTTAGACTGTTAGAAGCACATTTCCAATAGAGTTGCTTATAAACGATTAATTGCATGCTATACCATTCAAATATGACCTCTTCTGGCCTTAGATATGCCACTTACATTTATATAAATGCATGTTCTACTAATACATGTAGATATACAATAAAATTGCCACAGAGGGGCGGGGTCTTACCCAGCGACAGCATATAGTTTCCCCTTGAGGACAGTAGCACCCACATAACACCTTGGTATTGTCATACTAGTAACAAGTGTCCATGTATCTGTCCTTGGATTATAACATTCCACAGATGACAAATGAGATGATCCATCATATCCACCGACCACATAAATCATATCATTTAACAACGCAACACCTGCACCTATCGGCAATGAAGAAAAAAAACAAGAATAGTCAATGCATCCCCAATTCTACAGTTTGTAATGTAAAAGCTTCCCCAATAAACTCATGGAGTGATAAAACAGGTGAAATCTGATTGAACAGTGTCACAAGGTGGGAGACATCCCAGAAGTGAATTCAGAATATGAAATAGGGTAACGATGGTGGTGTGCAGCATACTATGTGCTAGCATGAAACAAGCAGGTTCAATGGCTAATGTCAATGACAAATATTCAAGTGAATGAAAGTACAGCATGCCTATGGTACCACCTCTCATATCATGTACATATAATGATATTGAATTGCATAGTATGTGGATGGTGATGTGTTAAAACTGGATCATTTGTTGACAGTAGTACATCAGTGTTACCATGTTTGTGTGCAACTTACTCAGTGACCTCACTGGTACTAATATATACATGTTTTTTTCACGGAATTTAAGTTCAATTAGTCGAGTGTATACCTCAAGAGAATATACTGTTCTACCTTACCTGATCTTCTAGTACTCATTGATCCAGCAGACACCCACTGGTTTGTATTCGGATCAAACTTCTCCACTGACTTCAGAATATTGACACCATCATACCCTCCAATGCAATAAAGCATTCCATTTGCAGGCACCAATCCTGCTCCTTCTCTGCCAGTTTCCATTTCAGCTAGAACATTCCACTGGTCTATGTGGGGGTCATAGCGTTCCAGGGAACGGTGTCGAATGATTCCATCAAAGCCACCAGCCACATAAATCATTTCTGCATTGTGAAATAACTTATTATCATTAACTATACAGGATGGTGTGTTGAAAAAATATGATGCACGTTCATTATTGACTGTGATTATCGATGATCCGGTGGCTAGTCAACAGTAAATCAAAGCACTTTATTTTTTTTTACAGTACCGGGGTAGTTGCACCACATGTCACATTTATTGTGGGTCCCATGCAACATATACAACACATGTAAAATACACTGTACAAAATTCAACACACTGTGTGATAACTGTAAAGCTAGAACAAGTTTTTAAATTCTGAATGACTTACCTCCAAGTACAGCCACACCAGCAAGTCCTCTTCTAACATTCATAGGTGCTATAGCAGACCACCCTAAGTCTTCCATGGTATAATCTAAATACTCTACTGTGTTTAATCTAGACATACCGTCAAAACCACCAATAATATACAATTTATCACCAAGGGATGCCACTGCTACATATCTCCTCTTTTTAGTTAAGTTCTGGTGACAGAATATAGTTTAATAAATAATTTACAAAATTTGGAGACAAAAAGCATGTGCCTAACTTGCTTGCTGTAAATTTGGTAACATGGACATACATGAAAACTGCCGTACATTATATGTGCAAAGACTGATTTGTGTTTTCCCATTGGTGCCTGACATGCTTTGAAGCAAATGAAAGTTTGCCAACTTTAAGGCCACAAGACTGGTGACAAGGTCGTTAATCCTTGTTTGCTGGTTGTGTACAGATATTTCTGGTTCATCTATTTTGTTTTTTTATGGACGAAATCTCCACACATACACAAGTTAATTTCTTGTTATTAAGGCATAAAGTCATTGCTGTAATATTCATAGTTACTTCTATTTAATTTGGTGCTTTGCAGTGACCTAAAAGCTGATAGAAAAACAACTTGACTAGATATTGATGGGAGCTGATTACAGCTAGACTTGAATAGAAATGATTATTAGTTTAATTTCATCATTGTTTATCAACAGAGGAAAGTATCATTGATCTCCAAATAAATAGAACTCACTGGTAAGAATCTCCACATCTGTTTTTTAGGATTGAACTCTTCTACGTTTGCTACAGGAGATTGCTGTGTTCCAAAACCACCAACTACAACTAATCTTTCATCTGACCCTATAATGAAAGACAACAAGATTTGTCATTACATCTGTGTATACTTTTATGACCTAAACTTCAAACATTTTTTTAAATCAAAAAACAAATTTAAATGTGTGCAGACAATACACACAGATCAGGGTAATACAAATTTCTAACATGTCTACATTGCAGTCTCATTCATTCACAACTTCTTATCACAGATTTGTGGCATATACCTGTTCTATGTTTTGTTCTTGGTCCTTTCATCTCAGCCCGGCACTCAGGCCTCAGATGAAACCTTTTAGCTTCATCAACCAGATCTCTGCATTCCAGACTGGTTTTGATCAGTGGCTGAAGAGATTCAAGTAGAAATATACAACTAGGTTTAGAACAAGTGAACACGACAATGAGAGTCAATAAAATTTGCTCACCAATCCATAGTTTATGACAGCTTTAGTTGTCATTAGTCAACGATTCAGTTAGTGATTGTTAGCTTTAGTTTCTACTAGTGAGATTGCTTTTATACGTTACAAGGTGAAACATTCAAAATACAGTACAACATCATTAAATATAACTACTAGATATTTTTGTGATTTGATGATTGAAGGACAAATGTTGTAAAGTCACTGAAATGTTCTTCCATAAGTTGAGCAATTCATGAAAATTAATCAATGATCAAATAAACTTTATCAATGGAGTTTGTGTTTATTTAATCAAAAGTACATGTAATTGTATCAACAGTACAACTGCCATATAATGACATCATGATAGTCAGGTACACATGTGATTCTAACAGAGCATCTATGGTATAAATGAAACAAGGCTGACATTGATAATGATCCTACTGATCATGTAGCAACAAATTTGTAGAATTCACTGATCATGAGAAACAAATAACAACATTTTTTAGAAACTTTTAGCAAAGCTATGTAAACATAGTTAGGTCTTGACTTAGGTTGTTTTTTACCCTGCCATACCATACGTGTACTGTATAGTTTTGATTTTGAAGCTATGAATTATACAGGTTTGATAAATACTTACCTCCATGTCCACAACATCAGTGAGATATTTTGGAGATAACAATGGCAATCTTACATAACCAAGTAGTTCCGGCAAATATTGAGATCGTTTCTCATCATCATGTTTAACCCAACTTAATACTGCAGCAAAGACTGGCTCTTCTGTAACAAGCTGATAACAGAATCTCACATCACTATACTTTTCAATGTGTACAGAGAGCCAATTTGTTAACACAATGCCAACCACTGAACTCTGTGTTTAGTTACAAATAGTCACAGAAGACACATTTTATTACATCACCTGCTGACGATGTAGATGCTTTCAGGAAGGGATGTATTAAGTTTGTTACACGATGCATTAATAGATTCAGAAACAATCGATCATCAGCCTAACCCCTGATATAAATATTATAGTAATGTTCTTGTGATGTTTGATTAATTCAATTTTGGTTTAATCATGGAGCTATAATGAGAGCTCCATAATTTAATTATAACATATTAGATGTGTCAGGGACATTTACTAGGTTTTAAATTTACTGGTTTCAGAAAGACTGATGTTTGTTAACTTTGCATATTCACTGAGTTTTAACTCACCAGTAATGCATTTAGCCATCAGCAATTTAGCCATCAAATGTTTCTATCGGAGAACTGATAATTTTTCTCTTACTTTTTCATGATAAATTGATAATTTTTATAATGGGCATAATTAACATAGTGAATAAATGAATTTTTAACATGCACAAGTGCCTACATGCATACAGAACCAGTATAAGTTGTTTGTCATTGCTACTCATGGTGAGTATGAATTGCACTGTGTCGGATGAAAAATGAAATATACATTACCGGTACAACCATTTTCAGACACAACATGGAAACACATTTTGATGCAATTTTAGTTTTAAGATTTGATTACAAAAACATAGTTTACATTCTGAGTGTAGAAGATAAACACAAACCTGTACGTCATTACTCTCTATCAGTGCCTGTACTTCCTCTTTACTAATTGCCATAAATTCCTCTTGCTGAACCACGTCTGAGAAATACTTAAAACTGAAATTTTCAGCAGCTTGAAGCAAGTCTGCACAGGAATGCGTCTCTGCAAATTTCTTGATTCCTAAGCAGTTGGTAGGGTCTAGCTGGTTTTCTAAAAATTCACTGCATGCTCGCTTCACGCCTAAAAAAAACACACAAACAAAACCCAAAAGTTGAGTACCTATCTCTAATATTTAAAAACATGAATAGCAAAACATACTTCTATGGTAAAATACTAAATTCTGTAAACTGTTTAATTTTGTTAAAGGAATTTTCGCTACGATTTAATGTTTGTGAGAACAATATTTTGCGAAAGTCACTGTGACCAGAACGAAAATTACTGTGACTATGTCCTTAGGACCCTAGTTAGAGCGGGGGAATCGTCATCATCGCATGCGTCAGATGGCCATAGCAGGTCATTGTTTACAAACAAGTGTCTACTCATGAGCATTTGTGTTTTTAGCATGTGTTGTTATCGTCGCTTGGGACCCTACCGCTTTAAAGTTGATGTTGCTCCTTCAGAGTCACTATGGCTCCCTAGAACTCCAGGGAAAGTCGCTTTGACTCCCTAGGTCCCCAGTAAAAGTGGCTGTGACTCACTCGGCCCCAGCGAAAGTTGTTGGACTCAGTGGTATTTATCTGCTACAAAATTTGCAATGACTCGCACAATTCATGTCTGCAGAAAAACAAACTCAGGACAATAAATCACTATTCAAAACAGGAGATGAATCATTTCAATATTAGGTGTAATGTTGAATATTTCAATGGCTTCTATTGTGAATTTAAGACGAGTGTTCTCTCAATTCATACCATTAATTATGAATGTCTAGATTCTCAGAAAGGGTTCAAAATGGCATTTAATTCAGATTTAACTTCTTTCAAAAATGTTCACACCTTCAAATCAAGTTGACAAAATTGTCAACTTGATTTGATTTGACAAAAACAAGCTTGAGTTCTAATTGCATAACATTGCATGTGTTAAATTATAAACCATTAAACCTTGCACTAAGCATTTTTTAGCGTATATTTTCACAAATATGTCCAGTAAAATATGATTGAAATAAAACAAGCAATGAATTATTTGTTTGATATGAACACAGTAACTCACCTTTCAATTGAAGTAAACAGGCAGCTGGTAATAACTCTTGAACATTCTCAACAGTCACATTGACTGTTTCAGTGTAAACAAAATCTAGCAGTACCTCCATAGTATTGGCAGTAAGACCTTGTATTTCTATTGACTGTTTTTGACTTTCACTCATCTAGTGAAGAAACAATTGATATATAATTAGGAGTAACTTAGTTTGAGTTGAAATCTTTACCAATGAAGCCCTGGTAATGATGACATGTAAAAACAATTTAAGGTACCGGTACTAGTAGTTACATTCAATAAAGTTTGTTTTTAAACAAATACAGTGAATTTATTTTTATGTAAATTATATATGAATTTTTTTAAATTGACAATTGGTGGTTGAAAACTACTTGGCTATGCCAATGATTGAAGAAAACCAGCAAAGACTCATGGGTAATAAATGTTACCAAATGACTTATATAGCAAATGAAGCACGACGATCTTAGAGGGTTAATGTTTTATAAATATTTTATAAATTTCCATAAAAAAATGAAATTCATTGTATAATTTACAATACATCTAACAATAGAAATCTATATATTTTCAGAAAGCCTGATGTGAGAAAATATCAATGATTAAATTATGGAACAAATAAAAAACAAATTTGTTCACAATCAAAGACATAAGATTACAGACAATGACAGAATGTCCTCTAGCAGGAGTGAATTTGTACGAATCTTAAGTCACAAAGGAATTCCAAAAATGAAGTTTAATTGGTCAGGTTGTAGAAAACTTGGGAAAGAGGTCTTCAAAACAAAGAATATATGTGGATGCAAGGAGTTTTTGAAGGTACAAAGTAAAACTGTTGTTGAACAATACTTCCTTTGTTTTTATACTTGTTTTGTTAAGTCACAAACAAATCTGTGTGTGACAGTGACGTGTCATATCAACTTAGAGGGTATGAAGAGCAAGTCCAAAAAATGCCGATGTGATGTGATAGTTGTTCATATAATGTAATCTCTTGAACAAAAAATAACTTGCAATTCTCACCTCATTAGTAAACATTGCACAGAAATAATCGCTACAAGCGGCCAATACAATCCTATGAGCAGGGAATTCAGTCTTTTCAACTGAAAGTACAACGTCACACAGTGTGCCGTTTTTTCGCAAGTTGTTCATTGTTGTGAGTATGTCCTTAGCATGGCTGTTACTGAACATATTCTTCTGAGGTGACATGCATGTTCCTTTACTACAACTTGATGCAGCCATCCTAAATCAAACCTCAAATTGAAGTAGATTTTTCAATTAAAAATTGATCTTTCCTGAAAAAAAAAATTTGTCGGTTATAACACGTTTTATGTACTTATATGTATGTATTAACAGAAAGTGGAATTTCCGAGTGAATCTGATTTGACCATTTATACACAGCTGAGTGTATCCTATAATTTTTTCATTATGAAAGTGTCCTTTTTATAATGAACATGGCTGTTTAAAGAACAAAGAAGTTCGCTGATTCTGTT